AACAGTAGGGACACCGCGTTGTAAGCATCTTTATCATTCATTTGAAGTAATCAAATATCTGATGTCAGTTCTGTCATTCAATTCTGTGATTTGATTTCAAGAAATTGCGAATTCAGTGGTTATTTAGTAATATACGTAACCGCGAAGTCGAATGGAAGACAAAAGGACTTGCAGTTCTTTCTCGTAGACGGTATTATTGACTCATTTTTCGGAACTATAGCACAACAAAAGCCATCAACAGTGTATATATATATATGTGATATATATCCGGAAAAAAAATTCTCACTTTTTACCCACGGGAAAAAAGTAATTTATGAAAAGTGACATTTTATAACCTGCCAACAGGGATGAAATGCCAAACTTTTTTCCCGTCACAGAAAAAATATTGATTACTTATATAGGTATAATAGTTATTTATGCAACAAGTGCAAAAAGGCCTAACGGCCTCGTCGGACAATTTCACGTCGAGTGCAATAAACAATTTTTGCACGAGTTGCATACAACATTTTTTCTACGTTCATGCAAAAAGCAAAAAATGATTTATTGAGGTGCGGCACTAGGTACAATTCTGTTAATTGTCAGAATTAATTTTTGACTGACGTTTCAATAACCACAGTTGCATTATAGAAAATGTTTGTCATGATGACAGCACGTTGAAGTAGAATGACAGATGAGTGCAATAAAAACTTTATTGCACTAAGTGCAATAAAGAACTTCTTTTTCCACTAAATATAGTTCAATAAAGTTCTGTTTTCTGCATGAATGTAGAAAAAGGTAATTATAATGATGAAAAAATTGTCAAAATATTTTTCAGTAGGTTATGACATTTTTCAGTAGATCAATATGCAAATCAAAAGAACTACAGATAATTCAGTAGAACTGGCAATCCTATAGCGGACGAAAAGTGTTTGCCTTCTAGAATAGTCGATTTTTCGTTCGGAAATTGAAACGTGAAATGTGTTTTTTTTTGTAGAGGTCGATGAAAAACATATTTTCTTGCATTCGTACACGAAGAGAGTCTTTTGCGTTCTCTACACAGGACGCGAAGTATATGTATAACTTCGCAGCCGTTACCCATAGGCCGCCAAACCGAAGCCCACTTTCGAATTGGACATTCCTAAACTACGATAATAGCAAGGTTATTTCAGTGTCAGATCATATTTTCGTTTCGTCAAGAACTGTCAAAACCTTTAAAATGCATAATATTATGATTTTCTAGAAAGTATTGAATATACCAAATTTCAAATTGATATCTTCAAATGTGAGCGACATATTTCAATCAATAAAAAAAATAATTGAAATTTGACTATCTGTAGCTCCTCTACTGATCGAGATCAGTCTCTTGTTTATATGAACTTTTCTAATTAAAATGATGATATCTATCTCCCATATCAGTTTGTACCTTCAAACCTGAATCACCCTGTATAATTTGTTTCTCCGTAGTTATATTTGAGGTTTTCTCAACTCGTTTAATGAATGAAAATATTATAAGTATAATTTCAATACACCTGTAGAAAGGATAAATTAGATGTGCTGCCCCAAAATGTCATTGCATTCGGAATTTCTATGAGAAACCTCATAGAACAATTCAATTGAAAGTCAGTGACACCTTGTTTCAAAATTGTTGTGAAAAGAATAGTTATAGGTGTATTGGAAATATGAAATTTCACTCATCTGGTAGAAATATCAGATTGAATTGATTTCACTAGTCTATTATTTTTTCCCTCATATAGTCATAGAGAATCACCCTGTGGAACGTGAATGTGTAACTAAACCATAAGTTAGATGCAATAATGCATAAATCTTATATATACTTTTACTCGACAATGTTCAGCTAAATTTTGCAACACTTTACGACACATTATACCTATACTAAAAAGTTCATTATTTATTGCATTATAAGAAGGCGAAGTTTGTAACTGGGACATATTTTATGGTACCGTGGGTGGTTTTGGAATGTACATTTTTCAAAAATGAGCATTATGATAGAAACTACAGAAACATAATAATAAACAGCATTATTATTTAAATTCAATAGTATATTTCAATGAACCAGACAATATTGCAGATTTAGACTTGAGGATAACTGAAAGAAGGGACAGTACCTTGCCGATTCTGAACTGCAACAAAGCCCCAAACATTATCATCCCCACGAGAGAAGAATGGAATGACACAACACCTGGCGTGCCTCCTCCCAATGAGTCAATCTGGTACACTGATGGGTCTAAATTTGGGGGCAGATCAGGTGCAGGGGTATACAATGAAGGAACAAGAAACGAAATCTCGGTTCCTTTGGACGAATATGCCTCAGTGTTCCAGGCTGAAGTAACCTGATTATGAGAGGTCGTACACCAATCACTATATGCTCGGCAGCAAAGCTACAATACTGGTTTTGCAATCCAATGGGGTCACAACCAATTTGGTGTCCAAGTGCAGAAAGTCCTCGGAAAACCTGGCGAATTCAAGAAAAGTCAGCATCATGTGGGCCCCGGGACACTCGGGGATACCCGGAAATGAGAAGGCAGACAGACTGGCCAAGATCGGTTCAGGATGGACCCTGGTCGGACCGGAACCCATCTTGGAAATACTAAACAGTCTGGCAATGTCCTCCATAGAGGGACAGCTGCAAAAGCAATTCCTCAAAATATGGCAGGATACACCAGGAATGAGACAATCGGAGCTCCACATAAAGGTACCTTCGAAGAGACTCACAAAAGAATTTCTATCCCTCAACAGGCGAGCCTTAAAATGGTAGTGGGACTATACAACCACCTTGATAGGCACCTAGATGATCCCCTTTGCAGATGGTGCCTGGAAAATGACGAAACGTCATCGCATGTCCTCACTGAGTGCCCAGTACTGACACATCAGAGAAGGTCTGTCCTTGGCAACATGATCTTGAGGCCAGAGGACGTGAGAGAGATTCAGCTAAGGAAGCTGCTGAACTTCTCCAAGGAAATCGGCATACCCAGCTGAATGTCGGAACATGTGGGTGCAAAATGGGCCCGAATAAGGAGGCCGACGTGCAGGGGTGTTCACCCGCCCACTAGTGCTTCGAAGACGAAGAAGAACTGAAGAAATTAACAACCTAACCCCTGGAAGTCCTACAAAATGTTCTACAAGAATCAATATAAGTGAATGGTTGTCATTTTGAACATTTAATTTCCTCCCTAAAATAAATTGAAAAATACTTCCTATATAAACACGAGTATAAACATTATGTTTGTTGCATAATTATCTTCATTGTACGTAATAGTATATTATGAAACAAATGTTATAAACGTCCTTTCAGTACCGAGTATTTTAAACACGAGCGGGGCAGAGCGGAGCGAGTGTTCAATAAACGAGTGTCTCGAAGAGTTTATAAACGCGTTACATACTATGCTTTTTCTACGAACTCCGAAAATTAAATTAACATACCTGGTATTCCTGCCCATATGGCACTAGACGTCCTGAAGACGTCCAGTTTAGGCCCGATTTAGGTCTGAACGTCCGGGACCTTTACAAGACGTACTTAAAACGTCCGTTTCTGGGCGCACTGGGTACGTACGATTACGATGTACTGGGTACGTCCAACTCTGGACTTTATCGACTTTCAAGGGACGAGATTGAATAAAACTGTATATATAATGATAATTGAAATCATTGCACATAATTTATTCTACCCTCGATCTCTGATATCTATTCATTTAGGAACCTTGCAAACATGAACATAATACAATTCTCACAATTCTTTTTCACTAGCCGTACCTGATCACAAAACATCTATTCAGGTATTCTCTGCCATGATCATCTAATTCTATGCAAGTATTGATGTGAATAAGGATCAATCAACATTCACACATAATATATTGTTGTATACTCTGACACATAATCAAGTCTTCTGTAGAGTAATAGGTAGAGCATCTGCACGGTAATCTGAAGGTCGTGTGATCGATCCCCGGTAGTAGCACATCATTTTTTTTTTTTGGTCAAAATAATATTTTTTTAACCTATCTATGTCTCTATGTTAACTATTTGAGTAGAAAAAAGGTGGATCAACGTTGATCGATCCAGGTATTAATGGTCCCGTTCAGACCTGAACAGGACCTTCATCGTACGTCCTAGGGACCTCTGGTTGTGTAACATCGTATGTCCCCAAAACGTCCTGAAAACGTACGCCGTACCTAAAATGGACGTTCTGGGGACGTTTCCAATGCCCGAGGTGTACGACTTGAGGACGTTTTCGGGACGGTTCTGTGCTATCTGGGTGCTAACCTACAAAATAATTCGAAAGGAATGGGAATGGAGAACATAATACATGCAACTGCATGCAACCAGCGAGATACGTATAAGTGATAGTGGTTGTAGATGTGTCCAGTCCATAGCTTTACTAACCATTGTTTTTCGTTTATTGTCATGCTTAGCGCAGAATAAATAAATTGTTCTCAAAGATGGATGCTTCATTTTTACACTTCTTGGAGATATGCAAGTACCAGAACATTCTCTTCGATTTCACTTTCGTCTACTTTTCGTATATATTTTTAATGAAGAATTCTGATACAAACGAATATTGTTTGAATAATTCTGATACGAAATTTGAAAATAACAGTTGACAGTTTATACAATTGACAGGCCAGACATGTCTCAAATTACTGAAGCTGTGTTTAATGAACTGTGTTGCCATGGTAATGTGTTTAAGAATATGTGTTGCCATGGTAACGTGTTTAATAATAAATCACAAATCGTCAATCCGTGATTAATCGATCATTTAGCGTGTTACATATCCGTACGCTGAATGCCATTTTAGTTATGTGAGTTGAAGAAGTAAATTTTATATTTTCCAAAAACAAAAAAATTCAGTTATGATTTGCAGCAAATTTTGAAAATTCAGTATTGTTGAACAGAGAATTAAAATGCCTTCCGAAAAATGAATCTATTCCATACATATTAACCGCAGTGCGTATGCTACTGTGGTTGCCGAATAAATTCGATATTCATTTTTTTCATTTCGTTTTCAGGGGACGATGGACCCCGTTCTACACGATATCAGCAATTTTGTTGGTCCACACCAATCTAGTCGCCTGCATCCAGTACCAACAGCTGGAATTGAACCCTAACGGAAATGGCGAATGCGCCTTGGTCCTCGATGGACCCGGCAGAAGCAGTCAGTTCGATTATTCGCTGAATTTACTTAGAGGTAGCAACTTGTAAGTTGAGTCTTTTCCTAAAATATGCTAGATACGCATGATGACGATCCCATGATGATAATTATACTGAAGCCAAAATAAGATAATATACAGAGAGATTCAAAATTCTTTTCTTCATTTGGAATCCCCTCCAATTCCCCCATAACTGGAAATACTAACAGTTCCACATATATCTGATCGTTCAGTGTCAAACATTGATGGAGTAGTAAATAGTAAATTTATCTTTGGGAATACGTTAAAAACGCTGTTTATGCAAATACTTTGATAACGAAGAAGAACTAAGGGACAGTGTTATACAAGCATTCAATAGTATTGCCCCAGAAATGCTTAGAAATGTCTTAGATATATACAACTAGCTGTAAGAAGAGGATATATTTTCTCTGGAAATAATTTTTATCATTCTGAACATTTGTTATGAAAGATATTTCTTCCATTACTGTTCGTAATGTCAAAGTTTAGTTATCAAGGTAATTCGTGAAACAATTTGAAGGGCTGCATAATAACTACTCCATCAATGTTTGACACTGAATATAAGTGGAACTATTGGTATTTCCTGTTTGAAATTTCGAAAAAGCATTGATTATGGCCAAAACTAGGTCAATTCAAACCACTTTGTATAATATATAGTCGAATTCAGAATAAAAAAGCTTTCAGAATCTGTGAACACATAATCAGGACCGTATTTAAAAAGAAAGTTGATGATGGTTTCACGAATACGAAACGTCGCGTGAAGAAATCAATATAATATCGTTAAATCTCATCGAAAAAGTATCTCCAGTTTTCCAGTATCTCTAATAATAAAGTAGAAAAAAAAATGTTTACAAAAATTACATTTTTTCGATATAACTGAAAAACTACAATTTTAAAAATTTCCGAAGAATGTTTGGTAGCAGCCTCTGAATGCACATTTTTTCTCATTCAACTTAATTCCTATCTCCTCCCGTTTCTGGTATCCCCATGCTGTTCAAAGTTATCTTGGTCACACTGTTATCAGTGATAATTCAGACATAAACATCGCAGATAATATCATACACACAGTTTATCCCAAAAGTCAACGCTATCCCCTGGCCAGTGACCAGAATATCACAGTAATATTTATTTGTGTAGCTTATTATTTGTTAAGTGTTCAATAAATACTTGTCACTTCGATTCCACCTGAATTGTTAATCAAATTCTTTACTATTGAAGTCAAACATAGGCCACGCTCATACCGTGTCTTGGTAAGCTGACTAATGACTATATTTTGACTAAATACTCTTGGTCAGTGTGGTATAAACTATAATACTTTGTAGAGTTACCAGCTTGGTTTGCTACCGAAATTTGATGCATACCAGACAAAAATAGTATGATGACCAAGATGGTGTAAACATTCTGGTCTACTTTTGTATGCCTTGACTTGACTTGAGTGCAAGTGGCAGTTAGTTCATGAGTTCTCATAACAATATTTCATTCAATCTCAGCTAATTCCGTATCGTATACTAAATGGTTTTATTCTTAATTCACGAATTCGAGTAGATTTCCACAACCTAACCTCAAAAAGTAATCAAATCAAAAGTTGACAACGTTAGTCAACTAAAGATACATGGTGTAAACATGCATTGACTGAGGCATTTGGTCTGAATCGTTGATTGATATAACGTCTGAATTTAGTTAGATCACCTTGGTAAGCATACCAAAACTACACTAATAGCAATGTTTTTTCGTATGACTCGCCAAACGTCAGTTGTCAGTACGTCATACACGAGCGAGGAAATGGATACCTTTTCTCCCTTGATATATAAATGGCTATTTTCTATTTTACAGTGATTACAATGGAGCTAACACCTGTATAACGTACGATGCAGTGAATGCTGCGTATCTTGATGCTCGCAAAAGAATAAGTAAGGATATCTTTCATTTACATATTATGTAATTCCTTAAACTATTGAGTCATAATAAGTATTAATGAATACTATACTACCACAAATCACATTAACCAGGGTAGACCAGCTAATTATACAGCGAGGTATAGTTGAATATCCACGGAGGTCCGAAATTGTCTCCCTATATTTCTATATTTACATAACGTTCCTATCCACAAGTGAAATCTATCATATTTCGTGAATAATTAATTTGACAACAGCAAATTACAGTGGTTGTCAACTTACTCTCCGCGCGGACCAGGTTTGCCAGTTCGATTTTGTAGTTCAGTAGATTTCATTAGATCTGTTTGAGATCCATTTTATGCTATACGAATTCCAAGAAAGAATAATGAAACAAACCAATGACGTCAAAGCATTATGTACTTTTAGAAAACATAAAAGTAACCTATTTTCAACATATTAGAAACAAATACTCACAATAATATCACAAAATAATATACAGCGTGTCTCACTTTAAACGGCCCCCTCTATACCTCAGTTATTATTAATGCGATTCCAACCAAATTTGGTGTGGTATGAATAACCATCAATATGATCAGTTTCACAGAGATGCACATCATTTTGGACAGTGCCGTGCGTTTTTATTGAACTAAAAATGGGTCGATTTTTTATAAAATCATATTAGGCATTTTGTTACAGGAAATCTAACCTCATATTATTGTTCCTCATGCTTTCGAACCCCCATTTGCAAAGAAAAAACACCTAATTCCGAATCACCAGGATTGGCTTCATTTTTTCATTTTCAGTCTCGAATCAATAGTGACTTCAGATCAACTACAAGTTTTGGAACGTTCAATGGCTCCGGTAGGTAGAAAATAATGATTTGGAAGGAAAAGCGAGTTTTACTTTTTTTATGTTGAACCCACCGTTTCCGAGAAAATAATTATTAAGTTCGCAAAAATGCTGTTTTTCTGAAACCCTTTATAGGCATCTTATAAAAATCCATATATGTGGGTTTGAAACCATGAAGAACAATATTATGAGGTGAGTTTTCCTGTGAAAAAATGCCTGATGTGATTTAATAAAATACTGACCCCTATTCATTTCAATAAAAATGCACCGCACTGTCTAAAATGATGTTTGTCTTTGAAAAACTGGTCATATTGATGATTATTCATACCGATACAAATTTGGTAAAGATCGCACGACTGATAGCTGAGATATGGAGGGGGGGCCGTTTGAAATAAGACACGCTGTAGATACCTAGGCACTTATGAAATTTGAGTATATAAAATACAGTAACGAATAGTGAAAATGAACATCAGAAATACAAAACAAATAAAAAATCAACCGTAAGAAACAAACTGTTATAACAGATGAAGTATTGTCCTTTTTTGGTTTATACATATCTTTAGAACCTAAGACCTAAGTATATGTAAATTTATTTCTCATTTTGTAAAATTAATTTCAGAGCGTGCCGAAATATCATCCAATTTATAGGTGTATGTGATTAACTAAAGATTAAATAATATAGGTAATTATGATAATAAATCAGTGTCAAAATATTTTTCAGTATAGAATATGAAATGTTTCAGTAGATCAGTAGATCAATATGCAAATCAGGAGATCAATTGAAAATTCAGTAAAACTGGCAACCCTGCAGCGGATGAAAAGTGTTTGCGGACAAAAAGCTGCGAACGAAATGTACTTGCCTTCGGAAATAGTCGGTTTTTTGTTCGGAAATTAGAACGTAGAATGTCATTTTCTGTAGAGGTCGACGAAAAACATATTATCGATGATAAAAATATTAGGTACCACTTTAAATTGTTCGTAATCGATTCAAGATGAATTTCAATTGATTTATAATCTGTATTATGAATTTAAAACTAATATTTCAAAGCATTTTTTGCGTGAAAGGGTTGATTGATGAATGTTGTATCTGAATAACGGCTTGCTTGATGGAAATGCAATAAAAGAGTATAATAATATCTTTATAATTTCTGTTCATGTGAAAACAGCGTAAATACTCATAAAAATCATTTATAATATTTGAATAATGTGAGAGTTAGAAGGTAAAATGCCATGAAATACTGACAAGTATCCCGTAAAAATCGTTCTTATATGGAAGAGGGGGTCAATTCGAGAATTCTAAAATACCGTCAATTAACACCGAAAAAATGATGCAGGTAATTTAGTATTTCAAAATTTACCAAACCATCTCTTGACATGGCAAGATTTAGAAACAGCTTAGATCCAACCGATGAAATCAGATCAAGGAATATAAAATCAGCTCATTTGATGATTTTAATAGAAAAATGTGATATATCAAGTTCGTCTTTGAATGTATATACTATCAGCCTCATAAATATGTGAAGACAATTATATATAATTGCCTACGAGACGAGACGAGACTTTGAAAAATCTCGTCTTGTCTCGCAAAAAAGTGGAAAGTCTCGAGTGGTCTCGTCTCGCACGAATAGTCTCGTGTCTCATGTCTCGCGCTAGAGTCTCGATAATTTAAACTTATGACCTTATTTTTCTGAATGTTTATCGTAACTTATTGCCATAGTTAATCTAGTTTGTCCGAGGCAATAATTCTAGTATAGTAGTAGGTACACTACACGTGGCAATATCTTGAAAAGCCCAAAAAAGTAAACATTGCGTAAAAGGCTGCTCGCTATTATGCGGCATCAATTAGAAAACTTATTTAATATTTGCCATTTTTATCTGCGATATTTCGAGACCATTTCGAGAGTCATGTGCGAGATTTGGTTATCAGAATTCTGAATCTTGAACCACCCTGTATCTGATCCGATTAAATATCAATGAATAGTGAATCGAAAGTTGAGATGGGGACATGTGAGCCGTTTTGACCGATAATGAATATTTTCGACACAAAAGAATCCTAGTTGAAAAATCTCGATTTTGAACACCCTATATCTCTGTAATCATTTTTGATAGACCCCAAGTGTGATACATCGATGGAATCAGCTCTTCAGGGAGAATCTAAAAATGCGATGAAATACAGCGTGTTCTATCTGAGATATCAATGTTGCTACTACTTTTTTGTAGAAGCGGTAACACTGCATTATCGAAAATATTTTAAATGAAGAGAGCGTATTCTGATAAGCATGCACATTTTCATGGATTTGTACCGACTGATTCTCGATATAAAGATAGTGTAAGCTCGTCATGACATACCCTGTATATATTTAACCGTGATTGCATAAGGATGGTTCAATTTTAATGAATCCTTGTTTTGCAATTTGAATGAATCGAAGTACTAATTGATTTGTTATAGGGATTGCCCAACCTCATGGAGATTGGAAAGCTGAGGATGTTGCTACAGTAGGTGAACTACTTTTCGATATATCAGTCAATCTGGCGAGAACGTAAGTATAAACCAGTAATCACTTTAGGTGGTCCAACAGGTCCACCTTAAAACTATTTCGAAATTGGTAAATGGGTCTACACATTACAGTGTGTTCCGAAACAAACACCAAATACAAATTCCAGCAACTTTGTTTTTTCTTATTCAAATTCAGCAGGTCATGTGCAATCTCTAGACGTCAAATGTCATTTTTTTTTTCAAATAAAAAATTTAAATTGTTTTTTTATTTTGTCTCGTGGATCGTGGATGAATGAGAATTGGTCAAGTCTATTCACAATGCGTCGGACATAACAGAGAAACATAATATTTATTATTAGTTCATTTATTCATACAAATGATAAGGTTAAATAGTGCCGTAATGCAAGGGCCATAAGCTTAAGCATACTAAGCGTACCGGTAAATAAATTATTCCAGTAATTCTCAGAGTTTGAGCTAATCCTTGTTTGACTGAATTAATGATTAAAATAATTGATATGTTAAATGATCTTTATATGGATGACATGACAAAATTCAGAGGAATAAATATTTTTTAAGTTCTTTCTGGAATATTTTGGTACTGATATTTTTCTAGTCTTGTTGGCAATTCATTGTAAAGCAATAATCCATTGCAATATACAGATCGAGTGTCCCATAAGTCATGGATCAAAAGAAAAAAGTATATATGAGGTTATCCAATTGCTGATGGTTCAAAACTTATTGATATTTTGTCATTCCTATAAAAAGAATCAATTACAATAAAACTATGTGACCTTTGTGATTTTTTCTTCTACCAATTTAATTCACATGGATGCACCTTTCCCCACAAAGATAACCAATCATAAGAGAAAGTTGCCCTTTCAATACAGGTTCCGAAATGGTATAAAATATAGGGTTATTCAAAACAGCCTCTTTGTTATTAGTTTTTTCAAATGAGTCGCCTCTTTTTCAGAAAAATTGAATAACTTTCGAACCATCAACAATGTTCGAAATCCAAATTCAGATGTGATTACAATGAGGGAAAACATGTCTGTTTGTCTAGTTGAATGTGAATGTATATTAGTATTAATTTCAAATTTCAAATGGGAATGTTTATAATGGTGTTCGACTAAATGAATGAATGTTAATATTTTAAATTTATATATTGATTGAAGATCTGATATTTCATTTGGTGTATACAGGGTATTGGTTAACTCTGATGGCCTCTATGTCTGATAGGCAATTGAATGTTAAAAATTTTCCAATTATAAGATCAACATTACATGAGCCTTCTTCTATTTCATTCTAATTTCACCACAACTTTCACAAAAAAAATCTATAATTTGTTTAGATACGGTTTGAGCTACGAAGATATAGAAAAAGGTCTACCTCTCATCGATACCAGTAAAACTCTGATCAGAGAAGTATGTCCTCCATACCTGTCAAATGTGGAATGCAGGGCAGGAAAATACAGAAGATACGATGGACTTTGTACGAACTTGGAACACCCCACATGGGGAGCAACCAATACACCCTTCACAAGGTACAGTGGATAATTATTATTATTGTTCTGCTCTTACATTATAATTGTGATCTTCGCGATTTTTATTGTTGAATTGGAGTGTTTTTTTATTGTGTACGCCTCTGAAGGCACAATTTTGAAATTCGTTCAGATGAATTTCGATATACCGACATCTTTTATCCCGGGTGCGAACGCATATTATGATGAGACCTGAAACTGCGATTTCAATTATCTATCTATCTGGTTATTTCCTTAATTTGCACCCCTTCTCAGCCTATTGTTTTTAGGACTTCAAAAACGGATAAACGAATTAGTTGTATAGGGTTTCACTTATTGCCTCCATATTCAAGGAGGTAAAGTGAACTTATTTATTTATTTATTTATTAACGGACAAGCCAATTATACAATTTACAAAAAGAAAGTATAAAAATACAGAGCACGTACATATTATCATATCTATGAAGAAGACTAACACCAAAAAAAATGTGGAAGGCTAAAACGAATAGAAAGATGAAGATTATGAAAAAAGTGATTAACAGTTTTTTATCGCTCTCCTGAGAGACAATAAAGATGAATTGAAAAGTTCAATTTGGTAATTGTATGTGTTTGCTGTTTTCATAATTCTATTCATCGATTCATTTTGGCCATAATTTGTCCTACAGAATGGTATCTTGAAAATGTCACTATTTCTGTTTCTTCTTGTATTTGCGGAAAGCATAATCAGAGCAACAATTTCAGGAGAATCAATGTAACCATTGATAATTTTATGGAGGAATAATAGATCAATTTCCATTCTTCTATGTATCAACGTATTCATGTTTAAAATATCTAAAATAAAAGATAGGTATATTCATCCCTATTGAATCCCATGTGATATGCACAACTTCTTAAAAATTTATTTTGACAACCCTCTAAAAGATCAGAATCAACTTTGTAAAATGGTGACCAGATCAAAGAATTATATTCAAGAATAGACCTCATAGTTCTTTAGCAGAACGGAGGGAGAAGCCTAGCATTTTACGAGCACGAGATGATGTTTCTATTATGTGGTATTTGAAGGTCATTTTCGAGTCGAATATTACTCCTAAGTCTTTGATTGTATTGGTTACTGATAGATTAGTATCATTAACTCTGTAAATATGATCAATTACTATTATACACCAGTAAGCAAAGTTGAGAGCTATGCTGATGCAATGTTGAAGCACTTACTGAATCGGACGTTCAGCAATATTGCAAAGGTGAAGTTTGACAATGTAGCTTTGCAGCAATATTACATGTTGCTGTGACATTCCTGGAACGTTACATTTACAAATTCACATTTCCAATGTTGCTGAACGTCCGTTTCAGTAAATGCTACAACCTTTGCATCAACATAGTTTCTAAATTTGCTTAGTGGGAAGGTGGGAACGACTACATCGATTGCAGATAACCCAGAGGAGCTCCAAGAAAAATTGAATACCTTGAGCTTCGAGTTCATGAATTGGTATGATAAAAACTCTTTAGTGGTGAATGTAGAGAAAACTGTTCTGATGCAGTTTTATACCAGAACTAATAGAAAAATTGATAATCTTCATGTTACAGTGGGTGATACAATAATTAAACCGTCAGACAACACCAAATTTCTATAGGTAAGTACTTTAATCCTTGCAACATGACATGGGAGCGAGATGGGAGTCGGGTATAAATCATGTCAGTAAGAAAGTGAACGGTGGGTACTATCAGACAATTGAGGTCCACTTTCGATAAGGCTCAACTTCTAAATGTTTACTTTGCTGTTGTATTCCAATATTTCTTATAATATTGTCATTTGGGAATGTTTGTCAAAACTCAGCAAAATATTCGTCTCACAGAAAAGGGGCATACGGCTAATATATGGAATAGACTACAGAGAATCTTGTAGACTTGGATTTATATTTACAAATGTATTTTATCATTCGGGAAACAAATGCAGAATTAGTCGATCGAAACTGTGACTTTCATACGTATCCTACCATAGGCACGATGAATCGACAAGGCATCTGAAACATTCAACTCGTCTGTATGAAAATTGTCATTCTTATGAGGGAGCAAAACTCTATAGGTAATCACTTATCAGACGGAATAAAGAATGTGTACACAGACGAGAAAATCATTTCAAAATCAAACTCAAAGAATTTCTGATCAATGGTTGTTTTTATAGTATCGACGAATATTTCAATCGATGAAATGCATTTCATATATCCTCATAAATATACTTTGTGGTATTGGGAAAGGTTACAGACTGAATATTCTCTATCATAGCCGTAGAGAAAGTATTATCTCGTACCGGATTGAAACATTTATGATTTCTTCGGAACACGTTCATGAGCCCTTACAATCGAGTTTTCTTGTTGTTACAGGCTGTTGGGACCGCTTTTCGCGGACGGAATGTCAGAACCCCGTATAGGTATTTCCGGCAGACCGCTTCCGATGTCCAGGATCGTCTCGAGGACGATGCACACCGACGAGGGTTACCACGACCACGCCGGCACTGTCATGATCATCGCTTGGGGACAGTTCATGGACCACGATTTCACGTTGCAAGCTACCCCATTAGGTATAATATATTGTTTAACGAGCACGGAATGATAGCGATTTCCTACGAGAATAAAGTTTGCAATCATTCGAGTAGGAAATTAGAATTCCGTGCGAGTTATACACTATAATTTTTCTACGGCTATAATAGATAACAGCGGCATTTTCGATTTCTTCGTCTTGTAGCCATCTGATTTCCTGCCAGATACAGAGATTTCATGTAATTAGATTGATATAATTATCACTATATAGAAATACAAGTCGAGTTCTTCTGATATATCACAAGACAAATCTTATTTTCATCTCCATAGAAACTATAGTTCATTCATATATACACTGTGAGGATTGATCTAAATATACAATGTGATTATTCTATAATGCCTTAGTATCACAAATGTCATGAGTTCCTCCTATTACGTTTTATTCAACGAAAGGACTCAAACATCTTTTTGATAACTTGATTTGATTATAATAATTGATGACTTGACAACCTTATTACTTCATGAGTAGAAATGAAAGATTATCTGACTGACGTCACTATTCTTTCGGCGTATCGCCAAATGACGACCATCATGAAGGTACGTTTGAAATGTGCTCTGAAATTCAACAATTTCTAACAACGTATATACAGTCTGTCCAAGATAAGGTTGAACAGCATGGGGATCTCGGAAACGGTGGGAGATACGAAGTCGTTTAAATGGGGAAAAAGTTGCGCATTCGGAGGCTCATATCAAGAGCCTTCGAAAATTTTCAAAATTATTTTTAGTTTTTGAGTTATATCGAAAAAAGTGAATTTTTGGAATATCTTTTTTATTTTTTTTTCTCCGTTCTTATCAGAGATTCAGCAAAACTGAGAATACTTTCTTATAGCAACTTTTGATGGCGTTCAACGTGGTGATACCGATTTTTTTATGCGACGTTTCGTATTCGTGGAACCATCATCAACTTTTGTTTTTTAAATGCGGTCCTGATAATTTTTTCACAGATTCTGGAAGGTTTTTTTATTCTGAATTCAACCATGTATTATACAAGGTGGTTTATGTGTGTTTCGACCTATTTTTAGCCATCATCAATGTTTTTTCGAAATTCCAAAGGAAACATGCCATCAGTTTCACTTATTTTGAAGGAAAATTAGTCAACACACTAATACCTCATCAACTGGTTTCAATCAACAACCCATTTCATTTTGCGGAAACAAAAATTCCATCCATACAAATTTAGAATATGTCAAGCGCAGGACATTCTGTGAGTGGTATACCAGGAGATGTCAAAATTTTGCAGATTTCCCTCGAAAAATCATCTGGACTGATGAAAGCATGGTCACTAATCATGGTATCTTCAATAGAAAAAATACACATTATTGTTCACGAGAAAATGAACATTTATACATTACAGCAATTGTCAAAGTTGTTGAAGTTAGGGTTGAAGTAATTCGTGTAAGAATTCATAAACAAATTTAAGCGGTGCATTGATCGAATGATAAAGTGAGATATTTTTCATTCATTTTTCAGTATTGAATAACTATTCCATCGAGTTTGACACTGAATGATCAGAAATAAGTGGAACTGATGGCACTTTTTCTTTGGAAGTTCGAAAAAACATTGATGATGGATAGAAATAGGTCGAAACACATTCGAATTACCTTGTATAATACATGGTTGAATTCAGAATAAAAAAATCTTTCAGAATCTGTGAAAAAATTATCAGGACCGTGTTTGAAAAACGAAAGTTGATGATGGTTCTAAGGATACGAAACGTTGCATAAAAAAATCGGTATGACCACGTTAAACGTCATCAAAAGTTGCTATGAAAAAGTATCTCCAGTTTTTCTGTATCTCTAATAATAACGGAGAAAAAAATAAAATGTATAATTGTAAATGTAAAAATTCACTTTTTTCGATATAACTCAAAAACTAAAAATAATTTCGAAAATTTTCGAAGGCTCTCAATATGAGCCTCCGAATGCGCAACTTTTTCCCCATTTAAACGACTTCGTATCTCCTACCGTTTCCGAGATCCCCATGCTGTTCAACCTTATCTTGGACAGACTGTACACATTCAAAATATTTCCTATACTCCATAACAAAATATCATTCAAATTATCTTTGGAGACTTGGCAACATGTACTGAATGCTGAAAACTGACAAGGCAGCGCCCACAACACTCGCCGTGTTGCGCTGTTGTTCCGTTTAACGGACCAGAATGCCCTCTAGTGTTAATCAATCAGTTGTAATTACCATGGCATTATTGATGATTTTAGGACCTTAAAATCGACCAAAAATATCTAAAAAAATATGCAATTGAAAGGCAGTCAAGTGACTCTATTTAAAAAATTAAAGAAAACTTTTGTGTACTTGCCTATTCTCTGAAAATCTTATAGTTTGTGATGTTATTTTACAATTTTGCTGAAACGGACCGATAATTCCTTGCAGACCCCTTCAACAGAAACGACCCCGAGGAATGCTGCGGCAGGCCGGCGCACCTGAAGCACCCCTATTGCAACGAGATCCCCGTCCCTGAGGACGACCCCTTCTACAAGCTGTTCCACGTCAAGTGCATCGACTTCGTGCGGACGTTCCCAGGAGTGCGACCAGGCTGCCGGCTCGGCTCCAAGGTGCCCTACAACACCCTTACAGGGGTGCTGGACGGCAACACCGTATACGGGGTCAAGGAGCACTTCGCGAGGTTCGTTTACCTTCCAATAACCCAGGCAACCAGATGACGTTTCAGTGACGTCTTTTTACGTCAGTTGAATGACCAAGGTCACGTCGTATGACGTGATAAATAACGTGAATAAGTCACAGCTCAATGAGGTCATATTACTCACGTTTGTTATCAGTCACTCACCAAACTATGACGTCAGACTGAAGTCGAAATGACGTCAAAATGATGTTCAAATTGTGTGATGACACGTAAAAAAGTTTCCTCGAACATTGTGTGATAATCACCACTTAAATCTGATGACATTATAATATTGTATTATGCATTGTCAAGTCTCCTTATTGGTCCATCCGGTTTCATGTCCATTCAATCGTCTATTCAGCAGCGCCATCCTTCAGTACGCATCTCCATCAGAATGAAATCAATTACTCGTATTTGTATCAAAAATGATGTAGTTTGTGTCGGCGAGATGTAAGCAAACCTAGAATAGAATAGAATAGCAATGAAAAGGATGTTGGCGAATTCAGCTCCACTTTGTTGAGTAACGTATATTCATGCATTATATTTCACTCAACAAAAATCTAAATTATTGAAAAGTTTTCTGAATGACGAAGCTCACGACCAAATTAGTACGTCACACCGACGTGATTTTTAGACGTCGTAGATACGTCACTGCAACGTCATAAAAGTGACGGTTTCAATATAGGTACACCTATATTATCATTTGTATATATACATATATAGCTTGATTGGTTTCCGATATACAGGATGTCAAAGTTTAAAAGAGTTTTCTCTTCCTTTTTGGGTATATATAATTCCAATAAAACTTGCATGTTGATTTGTTTTGATGAGTTATGCTTCTATCGACGTTAGAAGCATCCCAGCTAACATGATCAAGTAATATTGACGTCTTTAATTGGTCAATATTGGTAAATGACGTCGAGGACTTTAGGTCGACGTATATCATACGTCATATTTTTGACCAATGAAATATGTAATTATTATGTCGTCATTATGACGTGAATTATACGACATATGAAAACAATACAATCTCAATTCATCTACCATACTATAAGAGTCATATAAAAATTATCAACACGTACATGTTTCTATATATGTGTGTAAAATTGATGAAAACCCGATTTTTTCTGACAATTTTTGACACTGAAATGCCTATCCTGTATATATAGGTACGTCACAAACCTAATGGCTTCACATGATATATAATATGAGCATACATAATTTATATAAATGGTCTGGGAAACATGAACGCCGACAGGACGTCCCTGCAACGCCATGAAACTGACGTTTTATTTTACCCTTTCCTCGACGTCGAGATGATGACGTGATTATCACGTCATGGAAAGTACGTCATCGTGACATTATAAATTGGTATGTGACGTCTCTGACGAAAATTCACCAATTAGGGACGTCATAGTGACTTGATCATTCGTCATCTGGTTGCCTGGGAAGTATAGTGAAGTAAAGTAAATTGTTTTCATTACGTTATAACTACAAAAATGTAAAAATAGTGACAAGCCAGATATACAAAGTAAGAGAACATTACAATTACATTACATTTCAATTACATTCAATCACATTACCCCTACATTACATTACTATTTCATCTAAAATAGCCAGAGCCAGAACTAAGGTATTAAAAGATAATGACTCACAATTCAAATACTCTTCAATGGAGTAGAAACGGTGCCGCATAGTGAGTGCCTAACTCTAACGGTTGAAATTCAGACCAGTAATGTCTGCTGTTATTTTATTATATGGATGTAAGTTGAGTGAATTTCGAACCGATAGGTTCAAATGGAGACCTCAGTTGTGCACCTCTTCGAGTTGGGTGATTATAGAAGTCATTTGTGAGGTACCTACTCAGTATTGTTTTTGTGTATTTCTAAAACATTGTGAAGTATGAAGATACATATATAGCCAGGAAAGAAGTTGTTTTCTTCTGAATAAACCGAGGAAGAATTGAAATTTTTATCACGTAGAGAATGCGAATTCTCAATCTCAACCGCAGAATCGTGATTAGGTTTTTTTCAATTTAGAATTTCTTTTTACGTCCTGCAGTGAAAAGGTTTTATTTTTTCAAGCGAAATCCGTGAGAATTTTCTGAATGATTTCAATTTTGAGATTATTCAGTGGCGTACCGTCAATGTCTGCCTGAATAGGTATGTGAAAAAATATGGACCACTAACTGATGCCCCCAAATTTCATTTGAATATCTAAAGTGGTCGTATTACATATATTAATAAAAAACAATTTATATTTGAGAATTTTACCACTCTGTATCCCAAAAGTTGAGACGTTCAGGTACGTTCATATTAAATTTCTTTCTTAAAATGGGCATAACAATCGCCTCCTCAAATATTGACATTCAATTAGGAAACACCCTGTATATGTGATTATCCATAGATTAAAGAAAATTATCCTGTCCAACATTTCCAAGCATTCCATAGTAGGATTCAACTCACCTTTTGATTTCAGGAAACTTCGTTCCGGCATTGGAGGTCTCATGAGAATGAACCCAGCTTTCGATCAGTATGGTCTGAAAGATTTGCTTCCTCTGAAATTGGACATTCCAGATGAAGGATGCACTAGGCCTAATGCATCAATGTACTGTTTCGAAGGAGGTATGATATAATATGATGATGAAGTATCCCAAAGGCCTCATATATCAGTCACACTCGGTCATTGTTATATGGTATAGGGGATTACAAGAGAACTATAGTTCTAGATCGTTACTCTTCAACAGTTGGAATTTGAAAATAATTCCTCTTTATCGCCTCATTTAGATCTTTAGGATCCAAACAAATCCTTAATGTCCCATTTGTCTTCCTTACTAGTACAGGGTGATTCACCATAAATGTCCCCCCCTCTAGCTCACTTATTTTTGAACCGATTTGAAAATTTGAAAAATTATCTAAAATGATTTTTCAGAAATGTTTTCCCGTCACATCAAAAAATACAGGGTGCTCGGAACAAACGATCTACAGAGTACTACTCGATTTTTTCAAATGGAACACCCTGTATTTCATTGTATTTTTAGATTTTCCCTGAAGAGCTGATTTCATCAATCTATCACACTTGGGGTCTAGCGGGAATAATTACAGAGATATAGGGTGTTCAAAATCGATATTTTTCAGCTTCAGGATTTTTTTGTGTCGGTCAAATTCACATTCAGCGACGCCTCATTATTTATGCCTCCAAATATCAGATTTTAAATTGAAGTGAATGTATTGCAATGAAAACAAATAGGGTATTCCATTTGAAAAAATTGAGTTACCCTAAATATCTGAAAAATTGTTGATTTGGCAACATTGCCGATATCACCATTGAATCGGGCATCATCAACAACCATCCTGTCGAAGTTTTCATAAATTTTCTCTGAGCCGTTTCTGAACTATGGGACCGTTCCAGAACTTTTTAACGAAAATGCTATGTTGTCATATTTCGAAAATCACGTTAATTACGAATCTGATATTCAGGGACTCAAGTAATTAGGAGGCGCTTAATTAATTGCAATAAAAATAAATGGGGTATTCCATTTGAAAAAATAAAGTTACTCCTAATATCTGAAAAGCTGTAAACTTGGCAACATTGCCGACGCCATGCCACCATTGAACCGGACATCATCAATATTGTACTGTAGAAAATTTCGTGACTTTTTCTCAAGCCGTTCCTGAAATATGAGACCGTTCCGATACTTTTGAAAGACACATACGTATATACATCGATTCAGAAGTGAATCTGATGAACATCTCAAATTAGTTTTCTCATAATATTTTATGAAACAAAGATGTATTTTATTTGTCAGTTAGAACCTTATTGTGTAATTACTACAATAGAAAATCCTTCTGGAACAAAGTTCTATTTACATTTTAGATGTTTGAATTAACATTCATTTGGGAATGAAGGAAGAAAACAAAATCGACTGATAAAAACTTCAACCCTTAATCACAACAAAAAAACTGATCGAGTGAAATGGAACGAAATAGATGGAGTCAAAAGTTCGCAGCACGATTCTGAGCAACTATATTTCGTCCAGATAGTGCCTTATTATTCTAGAGGGCGACGATCTGCTGATGATTGTTTGTTCTCCGAATTACTTGGTCCATCTCCACCATATCGGTAACTGAGATTTTTTGTTTCCTTAGGTGAAATCAGAGTGAATGAGCAACTGATCCTGACTTGCATGCACACTCTGATGGCTCGAGAGCACAATAGGTTGGCAGAAGGGCTCGCCCAGGTGAATCCTCACTGGGACGACGAGACTCTGTTTCAGGAGGCAAGGCGTATCAATATCGCCATCATCCAGCACATTACCTACAACGAATTCTTGCCGATCCTTCTGGGCAAAGATGTCATGGAGAAGTTTGGACTTCTATTACAAAAAGAGGTAGGGAGTAAGTCAGAAAACCTGACCCCTTTGCTAGGGTGGGTAGAACAGTGCAAAATAATCTGGGTTTGCTCAGTAAAGCAATTTAGAGGCATCCGTTTTCAAGATACAAGGTGTTGAAAAAATGATTTTCCTACGAGCCTGCGGAAAAGTAACTTTTTCGCATGATTTTTCGTTTTGAAAGTTGTACTTTTCCGTACGATTTTACTTTACCGCATTATTTTTACTTTTCCGCGCGATTTCGAATGAAATGCCAGGAGAAATGTGGACATAACTGTTGGCACCAGAACGCGTACCCATAGCAACAGTCGCTATAAACTGACAGTAGTGGCAGTCAACAAATAAACATTTCAGACCAATCTACCTTCCTCCATTCACTACCTACAAACTTATCAAGGCAATTCTGTAGTGGGCCAAACACTAATAACCAATCAAATTCAAATAAGAAACGACGTTCTTCAAGATGTTGCGGCATCTGCATCTGCTATGTTACAGTATGCAACAAACACAAATTGCAATTTTAATATTTACCATCGTTAATGTTTTAGTTATTTTTATTTAAATGTTCTTCAAATGAGTTTCCTATTATATCGATGAAAAAAAATCTATTTCATTATTTCTCAGTGCATGAAAATATCATGCGGAAAAGTTACTTTACCTCACCAATGCTGAAAAGTGTACCTTTTTCCGTACGATTTTTGTATTGTTGCAAATAAGGATATTTAGGACTAACTACCTAAATGATCCATATATGTAACTATTCTGCCTTATGTGTCATTTTGTAGCATCATTATAAAATATTGTTAATTAAAAAACTCTTGTTTTTTCATAAATAATATGGACAAAAACACTCGTAGGAAAAACTTTGTACCTCTCTTGCGGAAAAGATTTTGCGGAAAACTACTACTTTCCGCACTTGTTAGGTAAATAACAATTTTCTACCCATTTTTTACGATTATTATGTCGAAACTACCGAAATCGTAAAATTTTGTTTTCTTATCTAACTATCATAGAGGGCGCTAGTTACACGGTTCTTATATACCGAGTAGTTTTGAACATAACTTTTTTTAGGTTAGATTCTTTAATCCAAATTTGATGTGAACTTGAGCGTCATTGAATTCAACATCAAAAAGGTACACTCGATAAAACTCGATATTGTGAACCATTTTCCCACTATTTATTTATTATTACCAATTAAATCAAATTCAAAAACAATAACATTATTCTTGTGCTGAAGTTATCGATTGAACAAAGAATCACAAATAAAAAGTTGAGAAAAATTCGTCTAAGAACAATATTGAATCAGTAGACAATAAAGGAATGAAACTCAAATCATTTTGAATCATTAGAAATCAACAAACTGAAAAATTTTGACATTTAACTTAACGATCAATCAATAGTTCACCTCTTTTGAATTCGTTTTCTCAGTAGGTAATAATATTTATTTGCTATCAACCCTTTCAAGTTAATCCGGTACGAACCGTATTTTAATGTAGATATATTGTGCCCAAATTCCGAATGAAGATTTATCGAACCGGTCCACAGGTGACTAATCCTTCAAGTTGGGAAAGTAGGATATATAAAAATTAAGAAAGCCAACGTTGGTTTAGTTCATTGTACCAGTATGTCACCTGACGAAGCTACTGTGTTAGCGAAACATGTTGTGTGTTTTAGAATTTTGTGGAAATCTTATCGTTTGTGAAGTTTTTACATTTACCCTGGATTTCCATCAAGTCAATTCAAGATCTAATGAAGGTTTTTTTTCTGTGACAGGAAAAAAGTTTGGCATTTCATCTCTGTTGGCAGGTTATAAAATGTCACTTTTCATAAATTACTTTTTTCCCGTGGGAAAAAAGTGAGTACTTTTTTCCCGGATATATATCACATATATATACTCTGTTTATGGCTTTTGTTGTGCTATAAGTTCCGAAAAATGAGTCAATAATACCGTCTCCGAGAAAGAACTGCAAGTCCTTTTATCTTCCATTCGACTTCGCGGTTTCGTATATTACTAAACAACTACTGAATTCGCAATTTTTTAAAATCAAATCACAGAGTTGAACTGACAGAAGTGACATCAGATATTTGATTACTTCAAAAGAATGATAAAGATGCCTACTCGGATGCCTATAAAACGCAGGTGTCCCTACTGTTAAAAACTTAAAAACTTGAAATTTCACGTCGATAATTTTCAGATTTCGAAATAATGTAATATCTTCTCAATATTGATTCGTCCTTCCTTCTGTCACAGAAAAAAATAGTGTATTATACACGGGAAAAATATTAGATTTTAGCTCACAGTTTTTTGTCTCCCTCCGCTACGCGTCGGGAGACAACACAACCTGGAGCTAAAATCTACTACTTTTTTCCCTTGTATAATAAATAACCATTTTTTCTGTGACAGGAAAAAAGTTTGGCATTTCATCTCTGTTGGCAGGTTATAAAAATAAATGTCACTTTTCATGAATTACAAAAGTGAGTATTTTTTCCCTAATATATATGACATATATATACACTGTTGATTGCTTTTGTTGTGCTATAGTTCCGAAAAATAAGCCAATAACACCGTCTCAGAGAAAGAACTGCAAGTCCTTTTATCTTTCATTCGACTTCGCCGTTATGAACATTACTATATAAACAACCACTAAATTCACAATTTTTTGAAATCAAATCACAGAATTAGACTGACAAATATTTGTTACTTCAAAAGAATGATAAAGATGCCTGCAAACAGATGCCTACAACGCAGGTGTCATTCCTGTTTAAAACTTCAAATTTCATGTCGATAATTTCCTGATTTCAATGTAATGTAATATCTTCTCAATATTAATTCGTCCTCTTTCCTGTCACAGACAAAAAAGATAGTGTATTGAACACGGAAGCAATATTAGACTTAAGCTCACGGTTTTTTGTGTCCCTCCGCTACGCGTCGGTAGAAAACACGACAACTTCGAGCTAAAATATAATACTTTTTTCCCTTGTATAATAAATAACTAATTTTTACAGGGCTACTGGAACGGTTACGATTCCAGTATAAATCCTGGAGTCATTGATGCTTTCGCAGCTGCTGCATTCAGATTTGGGCACTCACTACTACCCACTGCTGTCGAAAGGTGGAGTAAAGCACACAAATTCATTGGTGAGTATATGAAGTAGTCGGTATAGCATTATTGGGAAATTGACTGTGACTGTATAAAATTGTGCTATGATTATGTACGAGTGCCTGCATCTGAACATGAGAATGTATGCCACACACACATGAGAAGGAATCATCAATTCAAAATGATGTATTTGCCTACGCCTCAAATCTTATGAGAAGGAAATGCATTCTTCTCCTAATTGTGTTTATTTAAATCAAGTTCATTATAGTTATTTATATTTGAAACGCAGCGTGCAAGTAAGAGCCCGAAGTATATGAATCTTCTATTCCTTCTTTCTTTTTGATGATTCCAGTGGTTAATAAAGTTTCAAATTTCAAAACTATAGACACCCATATCATTCACCATGAATAATTTCAAGTAGGTATAGATAGAGGTTACTTATTCACTAAGTATATTCGTTGACTGTCAAATCTAGAGTAGCAAACTGAAAACTTGCACTTAAAATAGGGAAAAATATCATAAACTTCGTTAAACCGTTTCACCTTCACCAAACCCTATTTTCGCGATAATTTGTTCGTCTGAATTGGTGGAATCATGTCAATGTCAGAAAATAATATACTGCACATGTGTTAAATTCATAATTTTTTATGGTTCTTAGTTGAAAAGATGAAAGATGGCCATCTTCTTAGTTCTTAATTATGGATTTAGATGTCAGATGCATGTTTATAAACCTTTGATGGCTTTTTCGTATATTTATTCCAAGTTTTTAATTCAATTATCAGTTTAGTTGAGTTGATACACCCAGCATTTTACACCAAAGATTACTGAATTCTACAAAATGACTTACTCGCTGGCATTTATATTGTATGTCGGTATCTCCCAACATTGCTTCCTTTCCCATACAAACCATTGCACCGCCAAACGGTTGCGGTCGATTACCAGGTACAGCTTATTGGCCCCTGAGATGCGCAAACGATAAACAGAGATGGTTAGTGTTTTTTTAAGTTCTGCTTCCTACGAAAAGGGATATCCTGCAATGTTCAGTGAACATCGTGAGAACCAAAGGAAATAAGGAAGGAAGGTGTTATAAGTCTCGGGGAACACCTCCCTTGGCAATGTGTTCCAGAGCCTCGCTGTTCGTTGGATGAACAAGTCTCAGAAAAGAGATGTGCTGCAGGGCTCCTAAGTGACCACGAAGGGGTGCGAAGCCCCAACTCGACGGGTTAATCTCGCGGGGACTGCCAAGGGAGGTACAATTGTTGATATTTCAGAAGAGCATCGTCCATGAAAATATCTATAAAATAGAGCCAGATCGCCAACTTTTTCACGGTGTTCCAGAGAAGTGAGTGAGTTTGTGAGCGAGGCATCACCCACGGGACAAATTGCCCTTCTTTGGACAGAATCCAACAGTTTCAGGGTATGTTTGGGTGCTGCACTCCAAATATGGGAACAGTATTCTAGGACAGATCGGATCTGTCCCTTATAGATCATAAGCATCTGACTGGAAATGAAATATAGCTCCTGGCCCGAAACAGAAAACCAAGTTTTTGGGATGCACTTTTAGCAATTATTGATCTCACGTGATTTTCCCAAGAAAGTTTATTGCTGAAAATAATACCATGCAAGCATCGAAATGGATGTCTGCAAATGTATGGTTACACCTGACAAGCTCATGTTGGGTACAGTGAGATCGACTTTTCTAGAGAAAATGCATGCTTGTGTTTTGTTTGTTGCGTTGAAATCTACCAAGTTATTGGATCCCCATTCGAGAATTGTTGCAGAGTCCATATTTATGTTGTCAACATTTCCTCCTCGTTCGTTTCTGATTTGCCTGGCTGGTTTTGGAGCCCTGGAACTCCTGGAAGAGGAGGCGGTATGGAGGGTACTATCATCCGCGAAGCTGTGTACTGGACATGAAGTTGCTTCCAACAAATCGTTAATATGGAGTAGAAATAGTGTGCAACACAGATCCACTGCTCCTTTTTATTGAGAAGTGCAATCGTACTGTTCTGTTCTAACCGATGTTCACTGAACCAGTTCCTCGTCAATAATGAGCTCTCGCCCCACTCCGCCGACTGGTCTACTGCGCATCCAATTCTCAGAGGCCAAGCTGTAATTAGATGGCGATTTCAAAAGGCACCGACAGCTTCTGTAGTCTATGATTTTACGATCTTTGCAGCTTCGAAGCGCCTCTCCGACCTCATCCGGCGGCCGCACGACCTCTACCGCGCTGGCGTCCTCGACGAGTACCTCATGGGGCTGCTGAACCAGGTGGCGCAGGCCATGGACGACTCCATCACGCAGGAGGTGACCAACCACCTGTTCAAGAAGGTTGGGGCGCGCCACGGCATGGACCTGGTCAGCTTCAACATGCAGAGGGGCAGGGAGTTTGGGCTGCCCGGCTACATGGAGTACAGGAAGTTCTGCGGGCTGCCGTGGTCGGATGGATTCGAGGGGCTGTTCGGGGCCATGCCGAACGATACCGTCAGGAGGTACACGTCGATTTTCGAGTGAGTATTCGTCTTACGAAAGTTATTATATGGTGTGTGAATGTTTTTTATTTTACGAGCGTGCGAATAAGTATCTTTTTCCATACAATGATCGAGAACCTTCTATCGATGAAGTCCCGCCTGGTTGAATATATTTCTGCCCCGGTCAGGATTATTTCAATATACAGTGTGTCTCACTTCTAATAGAAACACCCCTGTATCTTACGTAATCGTTGGGTAAGAATCCTCTATGACCAAGTGGGGTCATCTTCAGTGATTTACACTGCTCGCCAACAGCCGTGGAAGTACACACATGTCCGGAAAAAAAATCAAGAGACAAGATAGGTTGAAAATCACTTAGGATTCGAAAACAGGACGTTTCACTTACTCCTCATATCTTGATGCATTATTATAGATAACCATTTTCTTCAAAGTAACGAATTCATGTCATTCATAATTCATTTCAATGACACCCGTTATGATTTCTGATCCACTATATGATTATCTTCAGAACAACCATCAAGTGAATTTTCCGATTCAATGAATGTTCCCTCCTGGAATGTGGTGGTTCTATGGCTGCTATACGGTAGTGTTTCCATGAAAAGTGAGAAAGAAATGGAATTGTCAGAACTTAAATTTTTTTCAAGAGAAATATGAATAGTTAGAGAATTGGGCCTCCTCATTCCGAATCCGAAGTGATTTTTAACCTATTTTGCCTCCTAATATCATTTTCCGGAAATTGAGGTGGTTCCATGGCTGTTGGCGATCAGTGTATATCACTGAAGATGACATCACTTGACATAGAGTACATCTTTGATATATCACTCGCTCCAGCAAATTTCAGGATCCTAATCCAACGATTTCGTAAGATACGGGGGTGTTTCCATGAAAAGCGAGGCAAAAATGAAATTTTTTTAAACTGGAAATTTTTCAGGAAAAATTTGAGTAGATAGTGAATAGGGCGTCCTGATTCCGAATCCAGAAGTGATTTTCTACATATTCCGACTCCTAATATCAATTTTCGGAAATTTGGAGTGGTTCGTTACCACCGATACAACAAGGCCAGCAGACTCTGACGTAAACAGCTCGTGACGTCAGTTCGTGTTAATTCATCGGTGATTCACGTATGTTTTTAAAACGGTCTCGAATTCTTTTGTTGTTTATTCATCAAAATAATTGGCGGAAAAATTACTGTTTTGTGAAATATTTTGTGTTGTGATCTGCGAAATAACAATGCCTTTCAAGTGTTGTGTTCCCTTTTGTCGCGGGAATTATGAGGGTGGTTCAAAAGTTCATGCTTTTAGTTTCCCGTTGGACAAGGAGCTATCGAAAATGTGGGTATATGCAATTCACCGCGAGGATTTTACTCCATCTAAGTTCAGTAGTAAAGCAGAGCTTAATTTATAATGATGAATTGATAATAGAAGACAATTACTCTCTCATAAAAAGTATAAGTAGAGGAAAAATAGAAAAGCTTTGATTGTGCAGTTAGTTTTGTATTCGTATATTATAGTCAACAAAATCATCTCTGAATTCGAGGAAATTTTCTTGAATGTTCATAATAAACGGGCATTGCAATGAATGCAGAATTCATTCCAATGATCAAATTGCAACTATCATATCAACAGGTAAAACTGCATTTATCATGATATTTATCAGGAAGATATTTGACTTAAAATTTCCAAATTTCACCTTCTTTTTCACCTGTCTTCTGGATGGCATTTAGAACAAATTTCCCTTCTTTTTTCATCATATTGGACAATTTATATATATAATTCAACTATAAATATGATTTTCTTGAGATTAATCCATATTTAGTGAAAAGAAGGAAGAATATCATTCAAAATAATGGCGTGTGTAATGTCATTCGAAAGCAATCTATTGACATTTGACATCTCGTATTTTGATTGACTATTGATTAAATGGCCGTCATCTGAAATGCTTGTTCACTAAATATGAAAAACTCGCCATAAAAATCATATTTCCTGTTGAATTTTCTATATAAAAATGTGCCATCGAAGTACATCATGAGTATATAAAGTGTCCAATGACAAAATAAGAGCAAGTAGCTTCAAATGCCCCCAACACAAGGGGAGAAAGAAGGCGAAATTTCGAACTTTTTCTTGAAATATCTCAATAAATACCAAGTGGTTTGTTCACATTTTCATTATAAAATTCGGTTTATCCGACAAAAACACGTGAGTACCGAAAAAAATTTTCAAAAAAAAACCATCGGATGATGAATGCAGTTTTACCCTTGAAAATTACGGTTTCAAGTGTAACGATCCACTTGGGTGAAAAATCCAACAGCAGAAAATTGAAAACACTCACTGGTTATTTTTTCAGGTAATAGGAATTCTCCAAGATAAATATAGGTAATTGTAACAAACGGCATGTCAATCAAAATAAGATACATTTTCCACAATTTTCTTTCGATCAATCTCACGATAAGGTTATGTTCTGCGGGCCCTGTATAAGTAGGTGTGAAGTTTACCTTCACCACAATTTTTGCCAATATATATAATTAGAATGGGTTGCTGTAGGTGGATATTTGTGTTTTATCCTGGTTTTTGCTTTAAAACTTCGTTTTTCCATAATAAAATCGAATGGGGTGCGAAGAAGGGCTCAGTTGACGACTGGCATCCTTTTTTAACCAAAATCCCTTCAACTAAAACTAAAATCGAAATACGCGGTCGCCTTATAGCGCTATAAGTGCTTGTCGTTTCGAGCCGCTGGTTAGGCCTCACTAAGTGACGTCACCCACGGAGCATGCAGGCCTTGTTGTATCGGTGGTAACGGGTGGTTCCATATGGCTGTTGGCGAGCAGTGTATATCACTGAAGATGACCCCACTTAGTCGTGTATTTTCGGTATATCTCTGGCTCCCAGCAAATTCCGGGATCCTTAACCAACGAATACGTAAGATACAGGGTTGTTTCCATTATTAGAAGTGAGACACACTGTATGTGTAGTAGACAAATCAGTTTATTTGCCCCAAAATGTCACATTGCGCTTAAAATGTATATTATTAAAAACACTAGAAAAAAATGCAATCGCTATAGTTAGTGACACCTTATTTGAAGAATATAAGTTGAAAACATATAATTTCACTCAACTTAGAACATTTCGGGAACGAATCTGCTCCCGTATTCAACATAGAAATACAATAATGGAAAATAATTCTTCACTGATCTTTTTACGAGTTACCCGGGAGTTTGATTTGATTTTCAATTTACCATTTTCATAGATTTCAAACTCAGATTTCAGAGATCAAAATTATGTTTTATCTATATCGAAACTGAACATCAGAAAGCAATGTTATTATCTCCGTTTAGAAGCGTGTAAGCAGATTCTTCGATTTTTCTTTCTGATGGGTTAGGTTGGAGAATTATATATACTTAGGTTGTATTTTGCGAGTCCTTGTTGATTGAGGAACGATTTTCAGGCATCCTAATGACGTGGATTTGTGGTCAGGAGGAGTTTCAGAGAAACCTCTGCCAGGAAGCATGCTTGGACCAACTTTCGCATGTATCATCGCCACCCAATTCAGCTATTCTAGGAGAGGAGACAGATTTTGGTAAAGTCAAAATACGATAGAAACCACGATAATATATCATATTACATAACTTGAAATTTTCCACTACCTATACTTTGTCTACGCCAGCGTACATACAGTCTAATCCCAGCGAGCACCAAAACATCTCAGAGATGTTAAAAGTACGAGATTTCGAGACATTGAACCTCCACTGCGATGTTCTGTTCACACATGAATAGAACTTTTATAGAACAGCCAATGTCCGCCGCGGGCGGCAATTATCGAGATGTCCTTGATATGTCACAAAACTACCTTCTCCCTAGTTCTTTTTAAAGCCTTTTCATGGACACAACAAAACATTTTCAATGCGTCTTGCGCACATTAATCGCTGTAAAAAAACCATTTTTGAGGTACTTTTCTGAAGTCTAGTGTCAAAATGAACTTTTGCATTAGGATTCCATTTCCCTTGAATGAAAAAATGCATTAAAAGTAGATTGAATATAAAAATATTTTCTTGATATGAAATTACCTTCTTAATCGGTTTCTGAGTACTGCTTACTACACACAGACATATAATTGGAAATAGGTTTCCCAATTTTTGAAATGTTCTCCACAATGCATAATTTTGCAACTGCGGAGAAGCTGTGTATTGATGAATTCGTACTTTTATATATTGATTACACTGAGGCACCGAACAACACATCTTGCATCTGATGGTCATTATTACAAACTAAATAAGTCTTCTAACAAAATAAACTTCACCAAATTCCTTTCTGTTCGTTAGCAGCGTGATGTAAGCGTGACACGCTGCAAACGCGAATGCCAATTGCGAACAAGAAGAACATAATCGAAAACAAATCAGAATTCATCGTATTGTGACGTAAGCATGAGACGTTGTGGTGGGGCAAACAAAGAAAGGGCACAAAAGAACAAAAACAATACTTTCAATATCCTTCTAAGACCTCTTTTGGAAAGTGCATATTACGCCTCAAAAAATATCCTCATGCCTACATTTCTAGAACATCCCAAAACATCTCAGAGATACCTCTCAGTAGGCAAACAAAGAAATGCCACAGAAGAACAAAAACAATACTTCAATATCCTTCAAAGACCTCTGGTCAGTGCATATTACGTCTCAAAATAACATCTGCATGCCAACATTTTCAAAACATCCCAAAACATCTCAGCCCCCAGGGATGTTTGTGCTCGCTGGGATGTATGTACGCTGTCTACGCCTACCTACTCATTATTTCCTCGGTGTTCTACTCAAACTAGTGTCGAAATTATCGAATTGAGACGTCAAAAACAAAGATATCAGTTAGTACTAGTTCGTATATGTTTGTATAAAAGCTGTATAGCTCCGGAACTGCGTCATATGTATAATCCTTATAATTCTAATAATTTTTGTTCTCAACATTTTTTTTCCTATAGGTATGAACTGCCAAATCAGCCATCATCTTTCACTTCTGAACAACTTCAAGAAGTCAGAAAAGCAAGATTAGCCAGGATCATTTGTGATAACACAGATTTGATTGACACTATTCAACTGTATCCAATGGTGTTGCCAGATCATGAAATGTAAGTTTGATACATATGCCGAAATCAAACATCAAATTGTGGTCACCGTTATACTTTCAATAGAGTAACAATTGATTTTATCATGAGAAGATGCTATGCTATAAATATCGTCTCAGTTGTAAGTAGCTTCATTTTTAGCATGATCTAACCAATTTTTTTTTTTTAGTAATCCACGGGTTCCTTGTCGATCAGGAGTAATTCCAGGAATAGATCTCTCAAAATGGGCTGAATTTCCAAGGGACGAGTACCATAATGCTTTAGGAAAATAATGATATTACTCACCCAGTATTTGTATAGGTCTAGGTCTGGAGTTGCCATTATGTACTATATCAAAATTGTATGAATATTTGAGGTCAAGTGAGTCTATATAACACATCAGTTTGATCTAGAAAAATGACAAAAACATTCACCTTATTAGTCTCAACAATAAAATAAAGTGTCATATCTTCTAAATATAAGATATAAGTATTACCTAGTAGATTCGCATCTATTCAGACAATGAAACAATTACAAATTATTTTGAAAATATATATCAAGGCCCAAAACAATATCGCGTTCAAAATGATGCACAATTATTATGATGTGTTTTCAAGTCACTTAGAAATGATATAATAGGTATATTCTAGTTTATACCTACCCTCGAACATAAATTATATATAAACCATTCCTTGCAACAATAGGTTTTCATCATGATATCAAAGTCACTTATTTAGCACGTTCATTACTGTTACTCATCCTGGTAAAGTTGATTTTTTTATCTCAAGCAGGTTGAACTGAACATCTTACCTCATATCTGCATTGTTTTTTAGCAAATAATTATGAAATATAATTGGTAGGAGTAAGATCTCGAGAAATTTGTCTCAAAATAAAACATGTCTATAAATTTCACTTATAGATGTAGGTAATTATAGAGTTGTCAATGTAAAAATAGTCTTCTGTTCTATTGACTTATTGCACAAACCTCATCAGCAGATATGTGAGTATGCCATCATTTATCATCAATCCCTTGAATTTCAGTTAGTATGTATTTCAACAATGCCCTTATGTATATATTTCTTTAATTTATTCAAATATCCAGTATAAAACTATTTCATAGAAGTTTAGCTGATTTGATGTAAACTTTATATTTTTATAAAATATAGGATTAAAAATAGACAATAGCGAGTTCCATTTATTCGAACACCTACAGTTTCAATCTATCATTCAGAGATATTGGTGAATGCCATCTAAGTATGCGAATCATATTCTCCTCGGATAATTTGGATGGTGATTACCAAAAACTACACAATCCCTTTGTTCAAGGTCGAATGCTTTTAAATTAGTTGAAAGTTGATTTTTTCTAAGGATTGCTTATAAACTACTCAACACTAATTTCGTCGCACACCAAAATGTCGCCCCTATTAAAATGTGGATAACTTTTTTCAGTTTAGAACAATTTGAATTTGGTTCACACTGTTCGATAGCCCAGTCCTTCAGCTATATTCTGGTACTTCATTGAAACATAAGGGTATTCACATAAAATCTCTACATGGTGTTTTCCGACACTGTGCGAAATTTCGGAATATTCAAAAGCCCCTAAAATGGTGAAAATAATTTTTTCTCAACTTCGACAACAGAGGCATGAAGATGATCTCATTACCTCGAGATATTTCGCGAATCAACTTCCTATCTCTCTTATTTACAGAGTGATCTCAAAAAATCAACTTTTTGGTTTTGCAGCCATAACTTTTTTCCACGTCAACCGATTTTGAAAATCTTAGGCTCATTTTGAAGATATATAAAACTTCAGATGAAGAGATCTGAATATCAGAATTGACTCAAGATGGCTATCAAAGATTTAGAGTTCTCTTGAAAGTGACCCAAATCTGGAACGCCCTTCGAATCTTGGTTGGGAGGAGAATTGAATGAAAATCAACTTGTTCTCGGTAAAACAATTCATTCTGGATGCGTCTATATTTTCCTCGCTCTCAGTAGTCAAGAATTGTGCGTGAGAAAACACAATTGAAACATGTTCTTGCAAAAACATTAGATCATTTTTTCTCCTCTGTAATGCATGGCCCGCCGTAACCAACGTTACAAGAATCACAATGAGTGACTGACAAACCCGACCAGCTGATCTCAGCTGAGGCTCATCATGAATGGTGTACCAATACAAGAGCAACGGATTTTGATTTTTTCAATAAAGTGATTTTTTTAACAGTTGTCACGTACATAACATGCGATTTAAGAATAATGAGAAGTATTCAAGCAAACAACGTTTATTTATTGTAAAAACGCATATCAAAAATGGTGAAAGTTTCACGAAAACAGTTTGCCAATTACGTAAAGTTTTCAATCGCAATAATGCGCCGAACAAATCGACAGTAATAACCAAACAAGTCGTGTCGAAATAAGCCCTTTGAATGGATCGGACTGTCGTGTTTAGCAGATCCGCGATTTGGAGGAAAGATAACCCTTGTTCCCTCATTTCCTCATTTGTGGAATCAGTTCCAACTGGTCGGGCGTTAAATGCGGCATCGAAACTATCAAAATCTGTTTATGATTCGAAAACGACGTCTAACCTGACTTGTCAGTCACTTACTGATTCTTGTAACGTTGATTACGGGCCATACATTATACAGAGGAGAAATGGTCTGATGTTTTTGCAAGAACATGTTTCAATTGTGTTTTCTCACGCACATTCTTGAGTACTGAGAGCGAGGAAAATATGGACGCATCCAGAATGAATTGTTTTTCCGAGAACAAGTTGATTTTCATTCAATTCTCCTCTCAACCGAGATTAAGAGGGGGTTCCAGATTTGGGTCACTTTCAAGGAAACTCTAGATCTTTGATAGCCATCTTGAGTCAATTCTGATATCCAGATCTCTTCATCTGAAGTTTTATCTTCAAAATGAGCCTAAGATTTCCAAAATCGGTTGACGTGGAAAAAAGTTATGGCTGCAAAACCAAAAAGTTGATTTCTTGAGATCACTCTGTGAATAATAGAGATAGGAATAAGTTGATTCGCGAAATATCTCGAGGTAATGAGATCATCTTCATGCCTCTGTTGTCGAAGTTGAGAAAAACATTTTTTTCACCATTTGAGAGCCTTTTGAATATTCCGAAATTTTGCACAGTGTCGGAAAACACCATGTAGAAGATTTTATGTGAATACCCTTATGTTTCAATGAAGTATCAGATTATAGCTGAAGGACTGGGCTATCGAACAATGTGAACCAAATTCAAATTGTTCTAAACTGAAAAAAGTTATTTACATTATAACAGGGGCGACATTTTGGTGTGCGACGAAATTAGTGTTGAGTAGTTTAAATAATACTATTCGAATTTCAGTCAATTTGAATTAATTCAAAGACACTTTTGTTTCGGAGGCCGAATAACTTTGCTTCATATAAGATGTAGTAAATAAATACTTACTATTTTCACTTATTGTATCTAACCCAGCAAACATGATTTTTGCGGCCCTCTAAAGGTACAATGAAACTTGTCGGCGAGCAGTAACAGCGGTCCTCTATTGTACAACTAAATTGGGCCGGCTAGCCCGTGTCCCGGCGGCCGACAGCCGACCGCCTCTCTAGAGCCATCAGTATGCCGCTTATTACATTGCAGGCCTTCTGGTGGGCAGAAGCAAGTACTCAAATGTACTGCATTCATGGCATATCTTCGGCCCGATTGAGACTTTTCAGAGACTGCCATTAATTGGCCGCTTCAGTATTTTTATTCCCCCGATGGAGGAGTTTTTCAGGGCCGTTGGTTTATGAGGTTGTATGAATTCAATATTCATGGTATTCTGTTTTTTGATGTTTCATTTTTCAACTAGGTTTGTCAAAAAATATACAGGGTGATGCATATATCTCAGTGAAAATAGGTTTCTTGATCGTTATCCCAGTTTATGTCACCACTTGTAAAGCAACGTATCTTATTTTCACTCAGATTTGCATCACTCTCTTTATTTTCAAACTGGTTAAAAAAGTGAAACTTCAATAAACAGAATTGAGGTCTCAGAGTTTTTTGTGAATCCTCTGGGTATAACAGAAATGTGGAATTCACTCCTTACCTGAAGTTCTTGAATAATTACATAAAATCTCTGAGATGGCATCCTGATATCACAGTTATTTCCAGGAACTAGCAGTATAAATACCCCATACAAAAACAAGAACTGAAAATATTCATGTGTGTATATTACTGCCATGATCACAACCAATACATATCATAACTATGGAAACATCAAACATCTTAATTCTAGTTCTACATATCACTCTGTATACTCATCATGAAGAGGTACCTACAATTTCCAATAATATGTATTTGTGTTTCATCATGCAGGATAGATATTTGTTTTTCCACTTGTTCCAAAAAGTTGCTAACTCTAGGTCAAAAATTACATCACCTATGTACCTACCAAATAACTTGAAAGTTATGTAGGTAATCAGTTATTATATTGATCAAGTTATTGTCAACACTAGAGTTCAATCCACAAGAAAACAATTCCCAGATATGAAGAATCTCACTCTTCATCATATTGATATGATTGTTGCCTGGAAGTGAGATATCATATATCATGAAGAAATTTATATCATAGTCTGGATCATTGTGTGATTTCTTCATCAATATCTGTGATTGATGGGCTTCTGGTTGTTGATTTTGTAGCTGAAAGATTGAATGATTTCATTCTCTACAAATCCAAAACAAGCAACATACAGTAATTCTTGAAATATAACTGTTTCTTCAAGTAGGTACTCTTTGATTTTCGTTTGGAAAATAGATTTATGATTCATATATGAAAGCTCATGCATCTTCGAAGTCCTCATATATTATTATATTCTTGTGTACCCGCTGAACATGTCCAAACTATCATTGCATCTGTTTGTCCAATGGTGTTTGTAAAATTATTGTCTGAAATTGGCGAATTATTCAGCTGTGCAAGTCTGTATATATGTTTTTTCCTTACTCACTATGTATTAATTCCAATACCCTTCCATTTTGTATGACAATCCACTAGAAAACCAAACACGAACTGAACACAGTACTAAATTCTCTGTTGAGAGTGTTGAAACAACATAAACAAAGAAATTAATATACGCCATACTGAATCATTGTTACCACTGCAAATTGATCAAAATAAAAACCACGCGAGCGAGGGATGCCAACGTTGAGTGAGTGATGATGGCACACTCCGTTGAAATTTTGATGGCCCTTGGACTTGGATACATACAGCGGAAGACTAGCGGCTGGGAAACAGAGGCCCATCATAACTATGTGTACATTCTGCCTTCGTCACATAATCCTTCGAAATTATATGGAGGGCCTTTCGAGGCATGCCGACATCGACATTTGCCCGCCGTTCTCGCCATGGGCCCGGCTTTCTACCGCCTGTCGATGTTTGCTGGGAACAGTCGTGGA